GATTCCAGAGCCGTCCCCATACCCCGTCCGGTATGGGCACCAAAACCATGAACCTCAATACCCTGTCCGGTATGAGAGTGAAACGGGTCGTCCCCATACCCCGTCTGGTATAGGCGCCAAAACACAAAAGGTCTCCATACCCCGTTCGGTATGAGAGACCACATTCCTGGTAGGGTTCCCTACGGACCCGGTCCGTTCACCATCTCCTAGGATATCTAGTTAGCCTGTCTACATTATCCACTTATCAATTCACATAACCTTTTTGCCATTTTTCTTGGTTTCAATCATCCAAACACACACAACATGTAAACCAGTAATGGACACCAAACAAGACAACACAGTATTGGATTCATCATAATACAAACCATAATAAAAGAAACCATGATTCATGCATACGAGACCATAACGTAATTACATCAAATATCATGCTGCATTTAATACTGAAAATTAAATCAAACAATAACAGACCAACACTGTATCAGGCTCGGGCTCCATTGGTAACCTTAATCAATTATAGATCTATAAAGTCACAAAGTATAGTTTAATTATTTATTTAGCTTTAATACCGTGATAGGAAATAGGGTGAGGGGTCCTTACCTGTTTCGGGGTCTGAATTCGACTCTACAGTGCGTCTACAGGCGGTCCCTAATTTTTCCTGAATTTTTTTCCGGGAAACTGAAACGCACTATTGGTACCTGTACGTGTCCCAAAAAATTTCAAATTAGACCTAGGGCCCCTTTCGACCAATATCGCAATTTCGGCACGGCGACTCCGCTGTGCTTCGGCGACGCCGCCGCCGCTTGCGGGGGCGATTTGCCTCGGGTTGGCCATTTTCGGCCGAATTCGGCCACGCTTGCATCAGTCCCTGTGATAAAACAACCCTAGGGCCCTCGGTGGGCTAAAAAAATCACAAAAAACTGAAACTTATCGACGGCGGTGCTCTCGGGTGCGACAGCTCCTCTGGCGTGAGTCGCGTTTTGATGTTTTAGCTCCGATCAACCTGTAGAGAAAAGAACGGTGATCACAGTGGTATAAAATTTGTATTGAACGGAGGCCGGGAAGGGCCTCATCGGAGGCAAAAACCGAGGAGGGGCGCGGCGGCGCCGCTGGGCTTCGGATGGATTTTTCGGCCATTTGGCTCCGATTTGGCCATAGGCGGACTCAACGTCGAAAAACGAGTAAGGAAGAGAAAATTTACCTCGATCGGCGGTCGGAAACTTCCCCGGTGTGGCGGCGGGTGGCGGCAGCCGGCTCCTCCGGCGTCTGGTTCTTCTTCTCTGGCGAGCGCTGGCGGCTAGGGTTTCTTTGGTCAGGTGTGGGTGGGGTTATTTATACCCTTTGCCTTTTAATCTTAACCGTCCATCAAGATTAAATCTGGACCGTTCGATCGCGATTTAATTGGGATTAAATCTAGGCCGTCCGTGCGCCTGAATCTGGGCCGTCCGTGCGCGCGGGAACGGATCTGGGCCGTCCGATCGCACGCACGCGGATCGCCCACGTGGCCCGTCCCCTGGTCAGCGTTTCCTTGCCACGCGGCGCGTCCTGGTTTGCCGGGGCTGCTGACCGGGCCGCTGACGTGGCTGCTGACGTGGCACAACTTTTTAAAATTGTGTTTTGACCCCCAATTTCTGATTTTCTTTTCAAAAATATCCCTAGAATCCAAATTTTCACCCATTTTTTTCAAAATCAATTTCAATTAAATCCAAATAATATTTTTACCCAATTTTATCATTATTATTATTTTTATTTTCATTAAATTAAATCAAATTAAATTAAATTAAATAAAAAATCAAATAAAATTTCAATAATTACAAAATAAAGTAAATAAAATAAATTGAAAAAATAATAATAATAATAATACACTTGGGGTGTTACACTTTCACTCTCTCTCTCTCTCTCTCTCTCTTATCTTCGAAGAGATCTTTCTTCGACAATGGTGAAGGAATCAATACTCTTAATGGTCCTTTCCAATGTATTATAAATGTACATTTGTAAAATTATGTTCAATTTCATAAAATGCACAATATTGTATATAATTTAATATATGGTTATTACGTCTTGTAGTTACAAAATACAAAAAAGTGGAGAGAGATAAAGAAAATATAAATGAAGTGAGCATAAAAGAGGAGCAAGGTAGGATGAGCATAAATGAAGTGATGTAGTAGATAGAGAAAGTAGAAAGAGAAAGTGAAAGAGATTGGTCGCCATAAAAAGTGGAGAAATCTTGACCACAACGGTGGAAAAACGCAGTAATGGAGGAGAGTGACACTAGGGGAGAAGGGAGACGTTGGGGATAATTCTTTTTAGATTATTCAATATAAATTGGTTTGATCTTTTATTAATTTTTAGATCTATTCAAATCGGTCAAATAATTTTTATTATTTTAAATATTATATGATATTTAATTCGATTTTATTAAGGCAAATTATAGCCTGCAATTCAAACTAAGGACAAAATTTGAAGTTAGTTCACCCTCACAGGATTGGACCCTATATCCTGGCCATTATAGCACGTGTCTCACCTAGGATATAAGGGGCATAATGACTTGGGATCATCCTCATCTTCCTTTGGTTTATCACATACAATCTGCTCAAGGTTCCAAACTCAACGGTGGTAATTAAATACGAGGGTTGCGCTTGTTGCGAAACTTAACTCAACACCTTACAACACGAGATAATGACAACTATACACTATTTATATCTGTGTGAAAAATTAATCAAATAAATAATGTTATTTATATAAATTAGTGACACGTGGTATGATTATTAATGATATTAGTGATTATTAATAAAAAAAGATTAATTTAAATATTTTTAAAAATAAAAATTAATTTAATATAAAATTAAGAAAAAGACTAAATCAAACGAAATAAAATAGTATAAGAAATAATTTGTTTAAGCTTTATATGAACATCAAATAATTACAATATTTGCTTACAACAGTTACAATATGTTTTCACAGTTTCTCAAAATTTTCTAAGTTATGCAGAAGAAAAAGAAACAAATTTAAGTATTTAGCATGTGAAATTCGTAGAGTTGCATGTTTACGGCCGGCCTAGTGCAAGTGAACCGGCGGGTTATATTTTGCAGGATCTAGAGTTTCTCTATTTCATCTTCTTATTTCAGATTTTCTGAAAATTTCTGGTCTGCTGAGCTTTTTTTGACTTGAGAGTTGAGAGAGGAAAGAGTGGGAAAGAGAAACCGGTATGGGGAGCGCGCCAGCACAAATTCCAACAAGTTTCGGTCATGAGCTTAGGGCTTGCCTTCGTTGTCGGCTCGTCAAGACCTACGATCAGGTTCGTGCCCCTCATCATTGACTTTCCCTCTCGTTTCCTTGAAGCTATTGTCTTCCTTTCGTTTCTTTATATTTCGAAAATATGCTAGTGAATAATTATTTATTTATGGGGAAATGTTTATCGTTTCTGCACTGCGTTGCGTATTTTTTTTTTTAATTTATGTATACATTTGAAGTTTGCATGATGATGAATCACCTTACAGTTTAGAGAATCGGGCTGCGAGAACTGTCCTTTCTTTAAGATGGATGATGATCATGAACGCATTGTCGATTGCACCACTCCCAATTTTAACGGGTATTTCTCGTCCTCTTTTAAAAATTGTCATGTTTGTCGAACATTTTCCGATAAAATCTTTTCAAGTCTTTTGAGTGTGCATCTTCCTTTAAAATTGAGTTTAGTTTCTCTTTCCTATAATCGAAATTTTCAGTGTATCTTAGTGTGAAGTGAACTATCTTCTTTAGTTTCATTGAATGTTTTTGTACTTAGTTCAAATATGAAAACATGAGATTTTAATTCTGACTTAATTATATATGGACTCGAAACAATATGTTTCAAACTCTGTTAAAGTTTAGGGAATTTGGATATGGATTATGATAGCTTAAAATATAAAATGATTCAGTGGTTTGGTTCTTATCTTCATAAAACCACTTAGTGTATGCTAAATGGAAATAACTTCATAAGATAAGATTAACACATCCCGTAAAAATAGTTCATTGTTCCAAAAATACTCTTAAACTTAAAGGAAACTCGTGATGATGAAATGGAGATCTTCTGATTTCCGTTCACAAAGCTTAAAAACTGAATTTTGATTTATACAAAATATAGACAAAGGCACCACCCAAGAATGTGGGCCAACTCACAGCGAATTCCTAGTCTAGGCATGAAATAAAGGATATTATGTATAAATCAAATGAAAACACAAGGTATATATGTTACACGCATCTTTTTTAGAAATGCATAGCGCGTGGTTATTTTCATTATTTACAACATATGAGAGGTAGCTACCATGAGGTTATACTGTAAGTTACATAAAAACTTCTAAACACTTCTAAAGGGTCTTTCAAGAACCTACAAGATAAGCTTGCGCAAAAAAGTTTGGCGAAGATGACCAAGGAGCAACTCAAACTTTAAACCTCTATCTTTGATCATAGATTCAAAATTTGTGCGTGTTGCTTTGTTGGAGCAAAAACTGTTCCTTTGACAACTGTTTCTTTTTTCTTTACCTTGTTTGCCTCTTCAAATTTCTCTTCTCGCATCAAAGGAAAATCTTTGTCCAGTTTTTTCCCACATCTAAAGCAAACTCCATGAGATTGATTACAAACATGTCTGCCTGTTTGGTTGTTTTATGCTCAAAATTCTCAATTTCATGCATCTCGTTTGCTTGATTATCTTTTGTCCTCCTTTACCAAGTCGCATAGTCCTTACGACAAAGCCTATGATCTCTTACCTATTGAGCTTCTTTAATTTCTTGTTCTGTTAGCTTAACATGCTCAACCAGTTCAGTGTATGTTCAAGTCAAAAGTTGGTTGCATACCATGCTGACTTGTGTTCTAATTTGCTACAGAGAGCAAAGATTGACATTCAATGAATTTTGCAATGGGAAAAATCCACGCAGTCCACAC